CACACACACACACACACACACACACACACACACACACAGTCTCCAAAATCATCTGAATCAGTTTGTTAAACTGGTTCATGATTCCAATAATGATTCTTTTGATCTTTTGATGAAGAATCTACTCCAACCAATAACTGATCTGAACTATAAACTGAACAAACATACTAGATCAGAGCTATACTGTTTTACTGTTTTAATGTTTAGTTTTAACCCTGTAAAGCCTGACGTATAAAAAAAACACACTTTTTAAAATTTTGTTTGAGTATCATATTTGCTCCATCAGGCTTTTATGGCTCCTCTAGTCTGATACAGTGAGAATATGAAGCTCAGTTTTATTTAGAGACTCAGACTGAGCAAAAATATGAATTAATGAACGTGATCGACTGGCAGCGGGATCAGATGTTTATCTCCTGGAATGATGATGATGATGATGATGGTTTATCTGCAGGTCTGTGCTGTTTAACGAGGCGCTTGTTTTTCTACACGATTCTGAACTGCAATAAAACCATGATGTACTGAAGTAAGATGTTCACACAACACTGGGTGTAAAGAGAGATTAATAATAATAATAATAATAATAATAATAATAGTTGTCCAACACTCTGTTCCAGTGTCATTATATTATCTCGGCTCATCAGGTGTGTTTTTAAATCAGTGAAATGGCTGTGTATGTGATTATCTTTACATTCTGAAGTTAAACAGACTCCTGGTGTGGGAACCGTTTGAGATATTGTAATATTTCAATATCTGTGCTTTGTCTGCTGTTGCAAGATCTTTTTTGTGTGTGTGTGTGTGTAAAAGAGGCCTGTTATTCGACAGAATTTAACAATCTCTCTTAGGATCTTTCTTGAATTATTTTAACTTTATAAAATCATCAAATACAGAATATTATGAAACTCCAATATCAGCAAAAGTGACTTCCCTGAAGAATTAATTTCTTTTATGCTTATTCATTTAATTTTTGTTGCAAATAACTTATTTCAAACAAACTTATTTGAAAGGTTTAAAAGCTTTTACTTGCAGAATCTTTGCGGGAAAATGTTAGATACGGTTTTTCCTCATTTGTATAAAGACATCTGTTGAAAAAAGGACATGTATGCACTTGATTCATGACGTTATGGTTAATGCCTGGATCTCTGTAATGTGAAGAGATCCGAACCGAATTAAAAGCGGATCTGGACTCAAGAGCATCAGATTCTCTATGGACCGAAGGTAAGACTCGTATTACTTACTCAAGTGATTAATACAGAAGATATATGCACATTGTTTTGTATATTTGACTGTTATAACCATATGTACATCATTTAAGCACTGGTTATTATACATTATACCTTTTTTAATCATTTACTTGTTTTCAGATGTGGAGTTGAGTTGTAATCTGTACATATACTCTCACAAACAGTTTATTAGGCTTCTACAGTCATATACTGTACAGGATCTGCCTACCATATTTATCTGTTTTTCGATTTGAATCTCAGATGCATCATGAGCAGCGCTGGGAAAGTTACTAGTAATGCATTACAAAATTGCGTTACTCCCTAAAAAAAGTAACTAATTACATTACTTAGTTGCTTTTTGTGGAAAGTAATGCGTTACGTTACTCTTGAGTTACTTTTTAAATCTGGGCAGGGCTTGCTTGTTTTTTTTTTTTATATACATAAGTTATTTTACAAATGTAAATACTTGGATAAAAGCGTCTGCTAAATGACTAAATGTAAATGTAAATGTAACATAAATTATACACAAATGTCTCATTTTAGTTTATAGGTATGGTTGAATTGGATCATTGAAGGTTAGCAGCAAAGACATTGGTTAATAAAATGGGATTAAATACATAAATTATATTTGTCTTATTTAACATATATTTAATTATTGCAGGTTTGCGTCATATTCTGAGTTTGCATTTGACTGTTTTTACTGATTTTGAGGAACACTGAATGTGTTTGTGTGCAGGGAGATGAGTAAACACATGTTCATATTTAGTCTAGAACTACAGTAAGATCATGTTCACACACAACACTTACTCCTGATTTCTGTCACCATGGCAACACCAGAGCTGTCACTCAATACATGGAAACAAAGTAACTGCTGTTACTTATTTGAAAAAGTAACTCCGATATTTCCTTCTAAATTAAAAAGTAATGTGTTACTTTACTAGTTACTTGAAAAAAGTAATCTGATTACGTAACTCGTGTTACTTGTAATGCGTTCCCCCCGACACTGATCACGACAGACATAGAGACTCCTGATAACGTTCTGCTCATTTTCTGTTTTGTTGAAGGACGGTCGCAGATGCTAACGGATCACTCATTGTCAAGCCAGCGAATCAGCGAGGCTCAAACCTCACTCAGACTTGCTCTTCAGCAGCGTCCTCATGCAGCAGATTTGTGGGATTCTCTCTTGTAGAGTCTCCGGAGATCGCACAGTCCTGATTACTGACATCTGCAGAGCTTGTGTTCTCTTTCTCCTCTTCAGCGTCTGGTGTTTCGGTCTCGGTCTGGACGTGCAGCAGCGGGCTCAGATCCAGGAAGGGTTTGTGGTGTGGAATTATGGGACTGACTGTGTTTTTTTGAGCTTGGATGGGCGCTGGACAGTTTTTCTCGCTTACTGACTTTGGTTTTTGTCTTAGGTCGAAATCTGTGCGTGTCGATTTTACCGCAACCGTCGGCAAGTTTTCCTCCCAAGCTGGACAGTCCTCGCTTATTTCAACCGGTAAAAACTCAAAGTCTGTGTCGTCAGCCAGCGATGGACGATCGCTTGCCTGTTCGGTCTTATTCCTTGGCGCTTCATCTTTGAAAGTGACCCGAGGTGTCCTGACAGCTTCGAACTCTTTCTCTTTCTCCAGCTGCTCAAAGTCGACAGGTTCACAGGGCGATGAAGATGCACTGTTCCTAAAGAAATCCGTGATCTCTTCCTGCTCCTCTGCCTGATTGTCCACTTCTTCTTTGTGGTGTGCCACGTACCCGGCGAGTCTGAAAGGATCATGCCGTTCCTCTGGGATTATCTCAGGAACAACGTCAGCCAGAGTCTCAACCTTGAGCACAAACTTCTCCAGATAGCCTCTGTCCTCAGAGTCGGATGCTTGACTGTGGAAGGATTTCTCGGAGGTCACGCTCTCGACGTCATCGTCCTGCTTCTTTCTGGTACCGACGGCGTCTGCGTACAGGTCCGAGTAGAGAAACGCCAAGGCTTTGGGCTCCTCGAGCAAATTGGGGTCGATGATTTTCGGAGGACCTTCGGGAAGGTATATGGGAGTGAGAACTGACTCCTCGCTTCCAAACAAGGCGCTTCCGCTTTCCTTCAGAGAGGATTTGGAAAGCTCTCTTTCCTTTTCACTAACACTTGCAGCAGTAGGTGGCTCGCTCCCTCCGCCGTAAAACACATCGTCCAAGTGTTCGCCAGAAATGTCTAGCATACTCACAGCTGAGGAGACTCCAGAAAGTCCAGGTCCTGGTTCTGCTTCAGGACCATCTTCTTCTGTGACCTTGTCCTCTGTCTCCCGTTGGGCTTCTTCTACTGGTGCTGCTCCTGATGGAGCTTGATGGTCAAGGAGCGTGAACTTCTCAAAGTAGTCCTCGGTCGTCTGTCCTCTTCGGGATATTTGGATAGACGGGACAACAGGCTCTGGTATCAATAAAACGCTCTTCTCCGTCTCTACAGTCTCAAAGTCCAGCTCGGGTTCATCCAGGATCTCTGCGGATTTCACAGCAGGCGTCTCCTCGAGGTAATACAAGTTATCTTCCAGACCTTTGCTCTCCTCTTCATCCACGGTGGAGACTCTCGGCGGAGCGATGATGTTTAGTATCTCAGATCCTTCAGAGACGAGACTGAACAAACGCTGGTGCTTTTCTTCTCTCAGATCAGCCGTTTTGTGTTCATCTGTTCCTTCTTCCCATGTCACATTCGGCAGGGACACTTCCACCATGGCTGGTCTCTCTGCTTCAGCAAGGATCTCGTGGCTGACCTGAGGAAGCGTCTTTGATTTCTCAGACTTTGGCTTCCTCTTTCTTCGGCTCATCAGTTCTTCGTCCATAATGAAGACGATCCTGCCGGCCGCTCCGGAGCCGCAGCAGCTGTATCCGGGTTCGGAGGCCAGCGAGTTGAACTCGGAGGCCCAGGGTGTGGAGCAGCGGCTGGAAGCGGTTTCCCAAACGATCCCACTGTCCTCACTCTGGACCGTCACCATCGAGAAGGACGGATCCATCATCAGGCAGTGGAGCTTCGGCTTGACCGCACCATCCTGGACCACCTCTCTCAAACTGCAGGGTATTTAACATTAAGCATATGATTAGTAACAAACTGATATTTGAGATCTTATGTTGGAAACGTCATGCTAACAGTAGCTACTGTACCAGTCAAAAGGTTTTTAATGATTTTAAAGAAGTCTCTTCTGTTCACCAAGCTTGCATTTATTTGATCCAAAACAGTAAAATTGTGAAATATTATTCTAATGTAAAACAGCTGTTTTCCTGTGATCAAATCTGAATTTTCAGCATCATTACTCCAGTCTTCAGTGTCACATGATCTTCAGAATCATTCTAATATGCTGATTTGCTGCTCAAGAAACATTTCTGATTATTATTATTATTATGATCACGATTTAAAACAGTAACAATATTTACAACAGTTCAGTACATTTTATTCAGGATTCTTTGATAAATAGAAAGATCCAAAGATCAGCATTTATCTGAAATAAAAAGTTTTTGTAACATTATACACTATTCCATTCAAAAGCTTGGAGTCAGCATAATTTTTTGTTTTTTGAGAAAGAAATTATATAAATTGATAGAAATATAAACTTTTATTTAGTAAGGATGCTTTAAATTGATCAAAAGTGATGATAAAGACAATAATAATGTTACAAAAGATTTATATTTCAGATAAATGCTGTTCTTCTGAACTTTCTATTCATCAAAGAAACCTGAAAAAATTCTACTCCGCTATTTTCAACACAATAATAATAATACTGTCAAACGATTAATCGCGATTAATCGCATCCAAAATAAGTTTTTGTTTACATAATATATAAGTGTGTACTGTGTATATTTATTATGTATATATAAATACACACACA